CTCGGGGGGCGTCGGCCCCTCTCACGGTCGAGAGCTCTTGCGCAACGTGTCGCGGCGACACGGTGCGCCTTGCGAGCGGATGGCGCGTCGCTCCGCTCCGCGGGGCGGGGGGCTGCGAAAAGCTCGGAACGTTGACGCCTGGGGACCCAGGGCGTGGATAGCGTGTCGCGTCGAGGAGTGGTGGCTCAGACCCGCGGCGCGACACGCTCAGCCAACATTTCCGATCCTCCGCCCCCCTCCTCCTCCTCCTCCTCCTCCTCCTCCTCCTCCTCCTCCTCCTCTTCTTCAAGTTCCTCATCCGCATCCCATCCGACTCTGCCTCCTCCTCCTCCTCCTCCTCCTCCTCCTCCTCCTCCTCCTCCCCCTCCTCTGATTCCCCCTCCATTCTCCCCTCCTCGTTTTCTTTCCTACTCCCCGTCCTCCTCCTCCTCCTCCTCCTCTTCCTCCTCTTCCTCCTCCTCCTCCTCCTCCTCCTCCTCCTCCTCACAAGACCGTTCCCGAGACCTCTCCAATTCATCCAGACGACCTCCCTTCCTGCATGCACGCTGATCTCCTTCCTCCTCCTCCGTCCGCCTCCTCGTCCCTCTTCGTTCTTCTCCGCATCCGACATGGCCGCAACGGCAACCATTCTTGACTCCTGGTTCTGCTCAGGTTTCTCAACTTTCTGTTCCGCCGCATGCTCTCCCGCTTTCCTGGTCGAAGCAGCTTGCCCGGGTATGGTTGATGGATGTGCTGATGGGGTTAGTTTTCGGTCGCGGCCGCGAGACGAAGGTCAGGCGGCGAGAGCAAAGTCCGGGACGCGAGCTAGGCGAATTAGCTAGGATGCGTGGTGTGCACATGCACTGAGCAAAATGCTCCGCATTATGGCGAACGCACATAGGCGCCAGCCACACCGAAGTGAAGCAGACCGCAGTGCGAGTGCAACGGAGAAGTCGCCCTGTCGGCGCCAAGCTCCGAGCAGCTCTCCTAGCCGAAAGCGGGCAGGGAAAACCGAAGCGACAACGCTGAAGGCTGAACCACTCAGCGCGAAGTCCGTACCACCGCCGTGCGCGGGGTCGGCGAAGACAAAGGCAGAGGAACGGCAGGGACTTACAAAGCACTCACTCCACGATCCACACCGCTGCCCGGGGGGGTCCGGTGTGTCAGTCATCGTTTCCGAAACCAGTGACAGGCCAGGGAAGCAACGATGAAAGAGGACACGCGGGCCCAAGAGCCGGTACACTGCCGCCTGGCGGGTATCGGCCGAAGGTCGCCGAGGTGCGCTGCAGCCGCGACCAGCTCATAGGCGCTGGAGCGCAGTCAGGGCTGAATCTGACCACAGAGTGGGCAGGGGAACGGCAAGTACCAACAGAGCACTCACTCCACGGACCGCACCGCTGCCCGGTGGGGGGCCGGTGTGTCGTTCATCGTATCCGAAACCAGTGACTGACCGGGGCTGCAACGATGAGAGAGGACACGCTGGCCCAAGGGCCGGTACACTGCAACCTCGCAGGTAACGGACACGATTGTCGCCGAGATTCGCAGTTGCCGCGACCAGCTCATGGAGCGCTGGAACGCAGCCAGGGCTGAATCTGACCACGCAGTGGAAGGGGGGGGTGCAGCCAACAGCCGCAATGAACACATGTGTCGGTTGGAGGGGGGGTGCAGCCAACAGCCGCAAAGTAACATGTCATGGAAGCAGCTCGCACAGAGCCGAGGACGAGGGAGGGGTTGCGTGGGCTGCACACAGACCGCCGCCAAGCAGAGTGGTGCGCAGGGGGGGGGGGACTAGTCCAGTCAACCGCCCCAGGCCAACCAAAGTGGCTGTCGAGAGAGACAGCAAAGGGCGTGGAGCGCGGGGGCGCGTCTGCGGCCGTCCCCAGCCCCCAACAGAGCAGTCAGCCGCCGTAGAGGGGGCAGCTGTTGGCCTTGGGCCGGCGGGGCCTGCAGGCTCACCCCCACCTGCCGAGGGGGGGGGGGGGTGGTGGCCAGGCAAGGTCCACTTATCCAGTGTGGGCTGTCTAGCTATGCAGCGCCTTGGGTGAGATGTTGGGACCCCCCCGCCCCTGCGGGAGTTGCCCAGGGCATTGCGGCCACGGCCAGGCGCTGCAAGGTGAAACCGTCCCCGGCGGGGAGAGAGCGGCGAGCGCCTGAGGGGGGTGTCGCCGCCGCCGAGCTGGGGGGGCAGGGGGCGCTCCGTCGGGCGGGCCCGTCCTGCGTGCCCTTGGCACGCTAGTCAAGTCAGTCCCACCATCGTGCGCGCTTGTCGGTGTATCGGTCGTCTCCCCCGGGGGAGTAACGTTTGCCGTTCGCTTTCCAAGCGGTATCTGTCCACGGCGCGCCCTGGTGGCTCCAGGAAGCCCATTCCTGCCATCCCTGCCACGGGTTGGCGGAACCAGATGCACCAGTCCATTGCTCCTGCGAGGCCGCCTCCGTCTCTCTCTTGCCCTCTTTAGTCCATGGGGCGCGGCCGCTGCTGCTGTCGGGCCCGCGCTGCGTGTGGGGTCTGGGCTCGCGTTGCAGGAGCTTGGTATGCCTGTCCTTGACCGTTGGCCAATCGACGTTGAGCTCTAGGTCTCTGTCCATCTTGTATGCGTCATACCCTGCGCTGCCCCATGCCTGAAGGAATTCGCTGCGCAGTTGCACGGTGTTCCGCTTGGGGTCATGCTTTTCAGTCCCAATGGTTCCCTGCCTCACGGCAGCCCTCTTCACCCATGCGACCCAGACTCCATTAAACGCTCCTCCCAGCGTCCTTTGCAGGCGTAGCATCTTCTCCTGTATCGGTTCGTCCTTCGTAACGTCAGCGTCCGCGACCGGGCACATATACATGGGGATGCCCCCCGTGGGGCCGCTCGGATCGCCTCGGGGTGGCTGCGTTTCCCGCGCGTCTCTCCAGGGTGCCTGGAGTATGCGTGGCCGGGCTGGGTCGCCTCTTGGGGACTTGGCGGCGCGGCGATCCCCATCCCTGGTGTCCTCCCACACGGGTCGCTGGCGGCCCCTGTCGCCGCTCGCGCGCCTGAGGGACCTGTAGTCCCTGGCGTCGTTGATGGTCCAAGCTGAGTTGTCTCCTCCTCGCGGGTCATCCGGCACGCTTCTGACTGCGCGGGCAGCGTTCCTGGAAACGGCCTGCTCGTAAGGGGGCCAGGCCTCTGAGGTGGCCATGTCGGGTGGTGCCGACCAGATCCTGAGGGGGTCGGGGATTTCTTCTTCCCCGTCGCCAGCCATCGGGGTTGGACTGGGCTCCGAGCTTGATTCCTTAAGGGTGTCGGACTCACATTTCTTGTCTGCATCCCCACCCCAGTCGATCCCTTCTTGTTCGCCATCGTTCTTGCACATTTGCCCGGTAGGGGTCCTCCCCTCTGCCTGTGGGGCGTGCCCCCCGTCTGCCCCGGCGGCATGGGGGTGCGCTCTGGTAGCGCGGGAGGAGGGGTCCTCCCGCGCGCCTCCGCGGTTGTCCACTGAGGGGGGGGCCTCGGCTCCGACAGCCCTGTTGAGCCAGGTGGCTGCCGGTGACTCAGCCCCAGCTGGGACGCCTGTGGCTGTCTCGCGCGGTCGCGGGTGGAAAGGGCGGTGATGGCCCCCCAGGCCAGTGCAGTGGAGTCAATCTCCGTGAGGAACGCGCCAGCAGAGTGCCGATCCGCTGTCGGAAGGGGCACTGACCTCTCTGTTCAGCAAGGACAGCAGCGTAGCGGTCCCATCCCCCCCGGTATTTCTCGCTCCTACCCGTTAGGTGGAATGCCGCCCTGGCCGCCGCAGCCCGCTGCCCGTCCCATGGGATGCTTGGGGGGTGGCAGCTGGCTGGGATCGAGTCCCCGTAGATCATTCCCAGGAAGGGGAGCAGGCGCGCCGTGGGCCACGACGTCTCATCGGTTCTGTCTCCTGGGATGCCCTCGCCGTACTGTCGGCCCAGCAAAGGTAGACCGAGTGATTCCACTCCAGTAGGTACTTCACCAGAGCGTGGACGGGGCCGTCGGACTCCACCCCAGCGAGCCTGTAGCTGGATAGGGTTGGCAGGACGGGACACGCTGGTGGGTCCAAGTTGGGAAACGCGGAGTTGCTGTCACGACCGACCCAGATTGTTTCGCCGCCTTGTCCTGCTGGACTGCTGAGCTCCATGTCATTGGGGGTGGACTCGCCCGTTGGGGCCAATGGCCTTGAATAGGCGTCCTTCGCCGCCGCATTGACGCCTGTTGGGGAGAGGTGGACGCTGATGTCGTAGCTCTCCTCTTGTACTTCTGCTGCTGCTGCGCGCTTAGCAGGGGCGGGGGGTGCACCTCGGTGGGGTGCAGGTCCAAAATGCGGTCGAGGGCACCGGGTGCCACATTCCAGATGTGGATGAGACATCTCCTGCAGGCCCAGCCTGCATTCCATTGCTGCTGTGTCCAGAGCGTGGGATAACGTCCCGTGGCGGGAGCCCTGTCCGCTCGTTGCGCGGTGCACCGGGTTCCGGGCGCCACGTGGAGCAGCCGAGCGCGGGGCTGCCTGCCCCCCGCGCGAGCAGTGGCGACCCCGGGGGGCAGGTGTCGCACATGGCGGTGTAGGTGCTCGTGCGGTGCGAGTCTGGCCCGAACCTGCCGTCCGACAGCTTGTGAGCTGGGAGGGCGGTGCCGACCTTCTGAAGATGATGGGCAGGCGGGGTGCGCATGACGAGGTTACCCAGGCAGGTGGGGAGCAACGCGGTGGTCGGTTGCCCACATCCGATTGGTAGCCGATCCAAGGGGGGGAGGGCACGGGCTCTCCTTCGGAAGCAAGCCTCGTCCAGTCTGCGCTTGTGCGCCTGGAGGCGCTGCTGTAGCGACTTCTTGGCGCAGAGGTCTTTGTTTCCGGCCAGGGGAACCTCGATGTCTTTCTTCTCTGGCGACTTGATCCAGCACTGTTCGCATAGCCACCTGCAGTTTCGGCCCTGCATGTAGGCTTGGGGGCGGTTCTGCGCGAGTAGCTCTCTCGTGTCGTCGTCCTCCCAGGTACCTGCTGCGCCTTGGGGCCCCGCGTTTGTGCACCCGTCGCAGTCGTAGCTGCCG